CAGGTACTCACACACTTCATAACTTTTCATCTTTAAGCAGTTAAGTGCTCTTCAATTTCCTTTAGTCCCACACTGACACTTCTCTACTATATTCAAAGTACTAGTCATCCATTTGTAATTAAATTCAGAAAGCCTAGTGATCAGTTTACCCAGTGGGTTTTTGTAAACCCGATATTCTCAGAATTTCCTCAGAGAACGTAATCTTCTGTTCTGAAGCAGGTAGTGAAAAATCTATTATGTGTGTGTACATATTTAAGAAATCTACTATCTAAAAGATGTCAGAAAATGTTTAAATCTCTAATAATTTTTCTTTAATATGGACATAAATGCCATTGCTTTTTAAGTTTGTTGGGGGATATGTGGAGTTTTATTCAAGAATGCAATGTATAACCTACTCAAAAGAGAATAATCCATAAGTTGTTACTCACCACTTGTGCCTACCAAGGTAGTAATTAAATTTTAACCAAACAAAAATACGTACTAGTCTATGGCCATGCCACCCTGAACAAGCCCGATCCCAACTAATATCGGAAGCTAAGCAGGGTTGGGCCTGGTCAGTACTTGGATGGGAGAACACCTAGGAAGACCAGGCGCTGTAGGCGTAAAAAATAAAAAATAAAGGATTGTAAGCTGACAAGGTCCTTGCGATATGAGGCCAAAGGTTGCCTCGCCTAAAAAAATAAAATATAATAAAAATAAAAAATAAAAATATGTACTAACATCTCTTAGCTCTCAAGTATCTGTTTTTGCCTTTCATGTCACCAGCTTTCCCACTACCTGGCGAAGTGTCCTGAATTCCCCAAAAGTTCAACCTGCCCCAATTTATTCCAGAACAGCAGAGGAAATGGGCAATACATGGCCTCATTATTGGGATGTACTCTCCCTAGATTCTGTGACCCAATCTCTTAGATCGATCTTTCACTGTGATCCAGTAAACACACATTACGAAATTGCAGATACTTGACTATTTCTGACTTACAAGAACAGCAATTGATGTTAACCGTAGTTTAACACATACTCAATATTTCCTATTCCTTCTATTTCATTATTTTTAAAAAATGCTGGCCATGTGCTTTTGAACTTGGTTTAATAACTGAATTAATGAATGGCCCACTGACAAGTATTTCTAAAAAGCTTTACTTCTTAACCCCACTATTGCAGGGTATCCATAAGTGTATCACTTATGTATGACTTAACCATATATATTTACACATAAGTTCTGCATCCATTAATCCTAAAGCCAAATTTAGTATACATCTGTTCATTCTTTTCTTAGCTGTACACACACACACACACACACACACACACAAAATCAATGCCACTAAGACAGCCCGTTTATTTTCTCTTAAAATCCGTTTGACATTAAATAAAATGAGGTCTCAAATATGGAAAATGACCTTGTTATGTTCTTACTTTTAAGGTAAACAAAATGGCACATACACACTACTAAGGCCTGACATGCCCCTCAGGTCCTCTTTAATCAGTGAATTGCAGAGGGAAGAGTATAAATCATATCTCCCCATTATGTCCTCCTCAGACTGAACTGAATAAAATGTGGTTTGTCCTTCCTTCAATTCCATATCATTTCTCTATTTAATAAATAAGCAAAATACTCCCCTAACCCATCTGTCTCATCTCCTAGAGATGAATTTTGCTTCCTTTATGAAATAATAGCTAAAATTATAAATATCAAATAACTTAGAAGGGTATGTCCAGAATAAATGTGGAAAAATTCTTCCCTTAATATTCCTAATTCTGTGGCAAAGTTAATCACATCTGCCTTAAAAATGGAAATTGCAGGACATGGTTACATAGTGTAGTGGTTAGCACAGCTGCTTTACACACAGAAGGTCCTGAGTTCACACCCCAGTGGAGCCATGGTCCATGGTCTATGGCCATGCCACTCTGAACAAGCCAGATGTCTGATCTCAGAAGCCAAGCAGGGTCGGGCCTGATTAGTACTTGGATGGGAGACTACCTTGGAAGACCAGGTGCTTTACGCATAAATAATAAAAAATTTTTAAAAATGTGAATTGCAAACAGTATATGTTACATGACAATTCTTGGACTTTTAAACTATTTCACAAAGACCCCAGAGGGTACAGGAAATTCAAAACTGCTTACAGGAAAATAACACTCAATATTGCAAATAACACATTCCTAACCTGTTTATATACTCTATTCTAATTACGATCCACTTTTTTCATTAGCTAACCACTATACAGATCAGTTTCATTTTAAAACATATTACTACATCCAAGACTAACCTTCAAGTCATCACCAGATAAAGAAAACCTTGTAGATGGGTCCTTTGGGTCTTAAAGTATTGGAGAATCATTAAAATCCTGAGAAATGTTTTACCTTAAACTCATTAGGGGACAATTTGGCATTATTAAAAAAAAAAAAACAACTAATGAAACAAAGATTGTATTCCATTTTTAAAATGAATAGAAAGTTCTTGGCCTGGTCTCTGGTTTCTCATTTCCATTAAGTGCAGGCCAATTGGTAGAGATTAAGGTATTCAGCTGAAGCCTGAGCATCCTATGGCAGAGCCCTTACACTTCACGCTAAATACAATTTTTATTTAAAAATAAGCTCAGTATGTAGGAGGCATTGTACTACACAGCTAAAACACATCTCACTTAACTCTTACTAGTTGTGAGGATGCCTCTCAGAATTGCTTGATTCCATATTGCTTTGAAAATACATTTCTGGGAGTAGGGCAAAGGTACTGGTATTAAGTTACTTCGGGATTCTAATGCAAAACCACAATCCAGAAACACTTAGTCATTTTTAAAAGCAGCAGCAACATCCTAACTCAAAAATAACCCTCAGTGGCACAGCTGGCCCTCTCCAATAAACCATAGTCCCCCCATAAAGACCTTGGAAAAACTTTCCAACAGACCTCATGTCCTGGGATTCCACTGTCTGCTGATCCAAGTCTCCCATTTTCCTCAAACTATTTTTACTTCTTCCCATCTTCCATTCAATCTCATCCCCTTTAGGTAGAATGTAATCTGATCATCAGATTAAAGTAATTCCCACAAAAACATGAACCGCCCCCCCAAAGAGCCAAATAACTTGACACTATTTCTGAAAAGTTGGTAATACTTTTTCTTTTGGCCTAAAAGAGCTTATATGACTATAAAGGGTGCGTGAGAATAAACATTCTCTCATCTCTCTATACAAAACATTCACTTAGATTCTATTTGCTACTTCTACGATATAAACACATGGGGTATTATTAATGTGAGGGCAGCCAGAAAGAGTATAGTTAAATTGTTGGCAGTGTAATTCCTATCATTTGAATGTCCCCTCCCAAGCCAAAAAAATTAATATGCAAAAATTACGTTTAGTATTTTCAACAATTCATATTTTCAGTGAATTTTTAAAAAGTGCTCCATAATTTTCATAGAACATTTGTAGCAACTTATGGGAAATAGGGCAACAGCAACAATCAAAAGTTCATTTAAGAACAGAAACAAGGTTCATCTTTAGTTATATACACTGACCCAAGTATCAATCAGCTACAACACACTATATTATTAAACAGTGCCATTTTACATATTTCCTTCTTTTTTAATTCTACCAAATGTTTTTCTACTATGAAAGAATTTGAAGTTTATCTTTCCTAACATAACAAAAACTCTAACATAATGTTAGCAAATTCCTCTGATTAAAGATCCCAGTTCAAGACCCCTTCCATAATAAAGTTCTCTGGCTTGAATTTCAACCTTAACTTTAGTATTTAGGACATAAAATTCCACTATTTAATTGTATCTAGAGCAACAAGAAAAATATACTTACCTGATTCCTTCTAAGAATTCTTGGGCAGTCTTCCCACACTGTTTCACAATATAAATTATAACAGGTTGGTAGCAAAATAAAAGTTCAGTTGATTCAAGATTAACTCATATACCTAACGGCCAAAAATTTACAGAATTCCTTTTGGGGAAGCTCATTCACTATAGAAATGGGGAACGTAAAAAACCATGGACTATACAACAGAAGTAGAGTGAATTAAGTGGATGACAAGGCATGAAAGCACATAGGGACTTGATCCAGAAAGGCTGCTTTGATGGGTAGTAGGGGTGGGAATTCAGTTTCTTGAAAACCAATATAGAGAACTCAATTGGAACTTAATTGACATTAACAGGCATCAGGACACCTAGTTTCTAGTCCGTTTTATAACCATCTAGCTGTGTGACAAATAACCCCCTGGATCTGTTTCCTCATCTCTAAAATAGGCCAGAATTAGATCATCTTTATATATCTTTCCTGCTGTTATTGATTCTATAGCTGTGATATTTTCCCATACATTCAAAAAACTGTAGCACCCTGCACATTTATGGATGTATGGATGTAAGAACGGATACACATATGTATGTAAATAAACATTTCCTGTCCAACATCCTCAAATAAAGAATAAAGACTCTTATTTTACATTAGGGAGTATTTACTAATCAAAGTGAAAGCTAGAATGGTTAAGAGATTTATCAGCAGAGTTAGCAAAATCAGAACTTTTTCCTAGCTGCATGCACTCACTCACTGTCTGTAACCAGATAGTGGTTACAGAAAAGAATACTTGGGAGTAAATCCACACATTACGGCCCAATTTTTTCTCTAGTAAAGTTGCATATTTGGAACTGCCTAAGCTTTTTGAACATCTGTAGCTAGTCATTTATATAACTTTGTTACTTTGTTTTGCATTAGTCTGTCTGAAAATGTAGCTTCATTTCTTCCTTGAAATTTCACTTCTCGCAGGCCTATTCATGTCATGTTTTTCCCTAAACTTCAACTTTCTATTTAATATTCCTCATAATAAAGAAAACAGCTCATTTTAAACAAGAAGTTTATTTAAACAACAAGACGTTTGACTTGAAGGGAAAACTATCTAGGATTCATTTCTTTTAGAGTAATTTATCCCTACTTAAAGACAGATTGCCCTACATGTAACAGCTACAAGGATTTTTGTTGTTCTTCTTCTTTTTTTTTTTTCCTTAAACAGTGAGAGCAAAATAACTTACTGGAATATAAAGATAAGAGCTGAATGAGCATGCCTGGAATGGAGAAAGGGGGTATTTTCACAGAACCAGTATTTTTCCCCATCCCATCTCCATTTGATGTCAATCAAAACATACCATTGGCCATTTAGTTAAAAAAAAAAAAATGCAAATGCTTGTGCACATACATCAGTTACTTTATGTACAATAAAGGAATGGGGAAGGGGAAAATGAAAGAATAGAGAAAACTATACTGTAGTAGTCAGGATGTGGTGGAACCAAATTGCCGTTTTCTAATTGAGAATGTCTTCTTGGTCTAGAGGAACAGAGTTCTGGAGTAAAGTAGCAGGTTCCCTTTTTAGTAGACACCTCCTGTCTGCTGCTGGAACACATCAATTGTATCTTCATCCTCCATTTCCAACTAGCATACAAGAGAAAAAACAAATTGTTCATTATTTTAGATAACCCATCGCTTAATGTAGCATCAGACTTAGGTTTAAATTACTTTACACTTGGTCTTTTTGTGAAGATTATAGAAAACTTAGCTTTTAAATTAAAAAGCTGAATATATCTGAATTAAATAATCTCTAACTATGGAAAATAAGAGTGATGTGGGTAAAGGATCTCATGCAAAGTTGTTTAGATAAGCAAAATACTGGAAATACCCTAAATATCAACAGAAACCCAAAGAAATGGTACACCAATATACGAAATACTATGTAGCTGTTAGTAATATACGAAATACTATGTAGCTGTTAGTAAAGAATAAGCAGATTTACACGTGCAGAAGTGGAAATATCCATGGGATACTAGTATTAGGCTAAAAACAAAAATTTAAAACTAGACAGCATTTCTGTTTTTAAAAGTTTATGTGTCTATAGTATGAATATATCCTTGTCTATGCACAAAACAGAGTGGTTACCTCTATGCAATAACAGAAGGGAACAGGGAAAGTGGAAACTTCTTTAAAAAACTAAATTTTAAAATGCTATCTACCAATTAAATTTGCAAGGTTTACTACCCGCATATTATACATAAACTAACCATGTTGACAGTAGGAAGGTTTTGGTACATTTGGCAACACTGTAAGGTAAATAAGCTTTGTAACATTTTATTATGCTGATAATTACGCTTGAAAATTTATTTCTAAAAAAAAGTAATTTTGAAGATAAAACTCTGGGCACCTAAAGACAAGAAAGGGAATTGTTTCTAACAAAGTTCAAATATAGGGGTAAGGGCATTAAAATATTAATGTCTCAACTCCCTTTTTTGTAAAATGGCACAGCATTCAGTTAGGAGAATTAAATGAGTCAAAGAAAGTAACAGAATGATGGGCACATACTAATCATACTGCTATTAAAATTGGCTAAGATGTTCTAATTTATCACAATTCTGCTACTTAAATATTGAGAATAATTCTAAAAGAAATCAATTTCATTCTAAAATTCAATTCTAAATACAATTCATTTGAAGACTTCATAATGCAGTTTGAAACAAATCCTCCTCACATTTTAATATCTGCAGCTAGCATGGCAGCAGACAAGCCTCGACTATTTTCTGGTGGTAGGAAAGGGCTTCAAAAGACAAAAAACACATTCTAATCATCAGAGGTTAGCACGACGGATTCTTTTTATTCTTTTAAAACCATCAAAACAGATCTTCCGCCTATCTATCTAGTGAAATAAAACTACTGGAATGTTAAATTTTATAGTAAAACTTTAAGTGCCTTCAGAGGATAAAAGAGCTTTTTCTCTTTCATAGAGAATTCGGCTCCTCCTTGTGGCTACAGACAATAATTGCTTCTTAGAGACTCACTAACAGATATTCAAAATATTCCTCCCTCAAGTATAACTTCTGTAGAATATCTGTTATGTTTCAATTTTTGTTTCAATTTTTTTGAAGAGTATCAACAAAACCACAATCTTGATGTGCTGCTTCACTCATACCGTGTTTAACACTTTCTAGTTCTGTAAGAACAGCATGCTAAGACAAATTCAAAAATACCCAGGCTACAATTTAAATTTCCATCAAAATATTTTTCCAAAACTGTCTTAAATGGAACTTGAAAGGGTAAAAAAAAAAAAAAAAAAGAGCTTCTGCCATAGAAGACAGCCCAGTAAATCCCTCACAAAGTGAGAGAACTGAAGTGTTATGTAAAGAGATTAAGGATCAGATAAATATTCACCTTTTGTAGAAAGGGACTAGAAAGCCACCCTCCTCTCAAAAGCCCTCCCTCCTCTCAAACTAAGCTATCAAGAGACTTGCTGTTAAGAGCCATTAGTTCCCTTTAGTTCACAAGTATAGGTAAAATAATTCAGCATGAGAGCTAAAAAGGTCAGGATCAACAGCCAACTGGTAAGATCAAGAGCTGAAGCAACAAAAACAAAAGGAAAACGTTCTGAAGAAACAGTTGTTTTAATTTTCACTGAATAATGTTGGCAATAGGAAAAAAAATGGATCAAAGTAACTAAATAACCTATTATCTTTACTAAGTGAGGACCAGTATTTTAAAACCATTGGCATTTCCTCAATCTATTCCTTTATTTTTCTTTCTGTCCCCCTGTGGTCATATTTTACATAGCTTTGAACTCTGGTAAAGAATTATATTCCAATATCTTAAAGTTCACAAATTTAATAAAGCTGTTGAGAAAAATTACAAAAAACATTACACAAAGAGATTTTACCTGTGCAGGTGTGTCTGTTTCATTGATTGGCTGCCCGTCAAATCGGAATCTGATCTGCCTCATTGACAAACCCTGGACAAAAGAGTTTAAAAGCAATAAGAATGCAAAAAACAAAAACTATATGCATATTTAGCCATGAATATATTAAAAGACAGACCTAAATAAATGATCGTCAATATGTTAACATTTCTATGTGGGTAAATAATTTGAGGTGACTTTCACTTCTTTAAAACTGATTTTCTTCGGGAAAAAAATTTTTTTCAAATGGTCTTCTTAAAAAGGCTGTATTGCCTTTGAGACCATAGCTACTCCAAGCTTGAATAGATGAAACTTGAATCAAAAAGCGCATTTAGATAAGATACTAAAAGGAAATTTAAAATAACAGATACACACAGCAACATTCCTCAGTGCATGTTAAAGAAATCACCAAATTAAAAAAAAAAAAACCAAACAATAACAAAAACTGGAAGTCATCTAAAAAGGTGTGATAATTAAAATAAAGTGTTGCCTAAACACCACCTTACCTTCATTTCTATCCGAATATTTCCTACCACCATGCACGCGTTAAGCTATGCCTCAACCCAGCACAATGCTAAGCACACCCACAGGCATTCAAGTTCTTATCTTTGGGCAGTCAGGACATTTTCACCAAAATGCAAGCCAATAACTATCCAAAAACCATCCATAAAACTACAATCCACACCCATGAAATTCCTGGAATAGCTCAAAAGAAGCACCTGCTTTTCAATTTCCTTCTTAGTATTTACCCAAAGCTACATTTATTAGTCAACTTATTTTCTAAATAAGCTCCAGGAGAGGGAGAAACCCAGACTGTTTTGGTTACACTGCATCCATGCACATAGTAGGTGCTCACTAAGCACTGATGGAATAAAATGGATGAAAATATCCATCTAACTATGCTTCACTTTTTTTATTTAAAAATAAATCTAAAACTACTAAGGTGGGGAGACTATGACAAAAAGGGAATTTTTAAATTATGTTACTAGAATTTAGCTTCTAGAAATTTTTATATGCATTTAAGGAGATAAATGAACCTAAACATGCCCCTTCTGCAAAGTGGGTTCCAATGTCTTACTTAATCAAACATTACCTTCCTGACATAGGGGTGGGGAAAAGGGGAAAGGAACAAAGCAGCAAAGCTGTTGGTTACTGCAGCCAAATGAAGACAAGATATGTTGTAAAAACAGCTTCCTAGGAAGCATCTTACATAAGATCCACCTCACTCCTGTATCATGTTCGAATTACAAACTATAATTAATTGTTACACAAACTCCATGCTTTGATATTTAAGAGAAAATTAAACTTGAGTTCCTAGGACCAAAAAAACTCAAAGTGCGCCATAAACACGAAACACCTGTAACCCCTTACATGGATTTGCTGAATCTGTTTTAAATCTGTAACATGATCATATTGCTTTCCTTTAAAACTCTAGCCATCAACACATAACACTTTCAGACTAGGCCTTGTCTTGAGGAATACAAGCAATCCCCCACGAGGTGACATCTACAAACTTAATTCCTCACGACTTTCAATTTTAATTTGTGATTACACAAAGCAACCAAGAATTCAGCACCGAGCATTAATTACCAAGTATTATTTATTTGTAATCCATTGTAGAATCCTTGCAGCACTTTATGGTAGGTTCTTTTTCCACTACATCCAGTGGTAGAAGGGTCACAAGGGGCAATCATTCAAAATATAAAGCGGGAAGGGCCCGGAACATAAGCAAACTGTATTCTTTTTGCCACCTGTTTTTATGCTTTTCCTCATCGATTAAAAGCTTTTATTTTGCTAGAGAGCAAAAATCCAACATTCAGAAAACTTGTCTTTAAGATTCCATAAATCAAGTAAATTCAAACTAGGAATTTACATTAAACCAGTATTTGGGGTTCTCTGCAGAATTAAATCTCTTCCCTGAGCTTTAGGGTTGTGCCCAGAAGAGTGGCATCGATTATCTCTTTGGGCCACATATTCTCATTCTACAAAAATGAACTGGACTAAATCAATGAATCTGTGCTCTCTGAAACCTGACCCTCCATGAAATAATCTGTTAGGGTAAATCCACACTAGAATGGAAAAGTATGCTGTTAGCTGAAGGCTATGTGGCTGTAGGCAAACTCAAATTTCACATGTTTATGAGAAACTTATTTGCAAACCAACCTCTGGAGATATTAGTTTGAATGTTCTCTACCATTTTACAAGCATTTATTAAACACATTCTATATATCAGGTACTGGTCTAGGATCTAGAGAAATAGTGAACAAAAAGGCCCAATGCTCATGGAGCTTACATTTTAGTGGAGACAAATATAGACATTATCAATGAAAAAAACAAAGGACTGGGTAACTGGAGCAGAAGCTCTTTGAGTTAACCAGAGAAATCTCCAAGGTAATAACTTATAAAGAGTGGAATAAAACGATTGAGGGTTCAGCAATATCCAACAGATATATGTGAGCCACATATTTTAAATTTTCTAGTTGCCAAGTTAAAGTAAAAAATGTTTTAATTCAGTACATTCAAAATACTATCATTTCAACATGTAATCGGCATTTTAAACCGGCCATGTATCTTACACTTACAGCACATCTCAGTTTGGACTAGTCACATTTCAAATGGCAAAGTCACATGTTGCTTGTGGCTACTATACTGGACAGCACAGGTTTAGGTAGAGAACAGAATTTGCCAATGGCTTTTATATGAGTTAGGAGGATCTTTAAGAATGAACCCAAGGTTTTGACCTCAGAACTACATGTAGACTGGTGCTTTTTATTGAGAGAGGACACAAGAGGAAAGGATTTCTAGGATTAAAGTCAAGAGTCTTCTCTTGCATGTTCAGTTTGGGATGCCTATGAGACATCCACTGGAACTCCTCCAGAGATACAATGCCAAGTAAGTTCATTAGAAAGTAAATGAGCATTCAATTAATTTTGACAGGAAATCTTTGATCGAGAATTTTCAATAGTCAAAAAAAACTTCAGCTATGCAAATTAGATTGGATAGATACTTTAGCCTTTTGATACTCTGTACCTACACTTAAAAGCAGAGAATCAGCCCAATTAGGTAATACTTCAATTCCCTCTTCCTTAGAAGGAGAAAGCATTTGAAACTTCAAAAGGGACTGTTTTACTCAAAACTCCAGGTTATTCCCAATTTAAAAGGAAAATAGGAATATCTATCCAAACTCTTCCTGAATCATATCTTCAAATCATATGTGCATTCCGACAATATTTTTTATGGATTACCAATGCTTCTTTTTCCTCTAGTGCAAATTAAGAGTGGCTCCAAATTTATTTAGTAAATAAAGCCTAATAACTGAAGGAAAAAAAAAAAAACTCAAGGAAAACTATTTACACTAGGTAATACACTAAATTTACTTTAACATGGCAGGAAAACTAAAAATTCTTGACTAACTTGATCTTATAGGACAATCTCCCATAGGGATAATCTGGAACACAGAGGATGTGCTGTTTTGTTTCTCTGGCACGTATGATGCCCCAGAACATGGTAGGCATCTGGTAAATAGCCAATAAAAAGCTCTTTTGGGCTCCTACAAGAAATATGGGCAGTCTTAAATATGACCATTTGGGATGGATAGGGTATCAATCAATATGTATAGTAAAATGTTAATGGTTAAATCTAGGTGGTGGGCATATGGGTATTCAATGTTCTTTAAACCTCGCTCTATGTTTTCATAAGTGTTGAAAAACAGACTGTTTAACAGCTAAAATCTAGTAGTAATTAAAGTTAAGCAAGATTTACAGAGAACTTAGTTGAAAACCACCAAATCTAAGCATGAGTTTCTGTTTTGTGTAAGGTTTTGCTACATAAAAGTTCTACAAAATGATTAGCTTTAAAAATTTCCCTGTAACATGAAAGGGAACTACTACTGTTCAAATGTGAAAGATGTCAGTGTAGAAAATCTTTAGTACAATAAGTACATATTTACTAATTGTTAGGGGGATTTTGTCAAGATCCTATCTTTTTAAGGAACTATAATAAAATGAAGATAAGGAATTATAAGCACAGTATTATTGCATTATAAATTAGGCATAAAATAAAGCTTCAAACTCAAAAAGGAGTCTATATCTTCAGTTTTTAAAATGCCCTTACATCTCATAAAAGAAGCCCATGTTTCAACTCAAACTTTTTTTATTTTGAGCCTATTTTTAGGATAACTGACATTGTAAATAAGTTGTTTTAGTCTAAAAGAATGATTTCCCTCGACTTTTACATATTACATATTCAGGGATGAACGAGAAAAATACTTCTGCCACATTATTACTGAATCAACCGATCTAGGTACCAGAGCGTTTGTTATACTTGCAAAAGTCATTTTTATTGTTACAGATAAAAAGCTTCTTTGAGTTTGAGTTTACATCCCAGCATCTGTTCATTTCTACTTCCTCTTCTTGATGCCTATTTACTATCATCTGAGTAAAATGCAAATGTCCCTATAATATAATGTTTATACATGGCTCAGGTTAAATTTCTTGACCTCTATTATTAGTGTAAGAGAAAAAACATGATTTTACATGCTTCAGAAAACTGCAATGTCCTTAATCTCACATTTTATTTCCACATTGATTAACATACCCAAAATAGTTTTGACACAAATTTTAAATAGATAAGAACCTGACAAGAAATTTTACCAAGTTCATTCTTATTTTCTTATTAAAGTAAAATTACATCCCTTTGGGAGCAAATCATGAGTGTGAGTATAATTTAACACATTTGTGACATAGGACTAGAAACATATATAGTAACCAAATTATCCTAAGGGTTTTCATGAAGAATCAACATACCAAGTATATGATAAAATTGATATGTCAAATATATAAGTGCATGTTCATTCTACCAATCTATTGTAATATTATGCTAGTCTAGTTTCTATCCTCATGAAAATAAGGTTTTTTTACTTAAATAAATTTTATTCAGTGAAAGTGCACATGTCAGTTCCTCACCTGTCGTTCACAATAGGCTTTCATTAGTTTACTAAGTGGTGTATGCCTCTTAATCTTAAACTGCACCACAGAACCATCCTGCCCCGCCACCTTCAAATTAATATGATCGTTGTTCTCAGTCTTGACTCCTTCCTGTTGAAAGAAAAATAAAAGTATAATTTGGAAAATGTGAAAAACAAACACCTTTTAGTAAAGCAGCTGCAGCCCAAGTTGCTTCAGAAATCAACAGGTTTCTCATCCTAAGAGCATACAGCTGTTTTCAGCCATTGAAATCAATCTGAAAGATGAGAAATCCTGGAGCAACAATATTACATAGCTGTCACAGAAACTGAAAGCCTACTTGCAATACTATATCAGTGGTAACAATCGATTTTTAAAGATGGGTCCCGCTCAATTTACTACCACGCTTTCTTGAATCTGAATTTTCTAAAATGGCTCATTTTATATCACAAAATATATCGTCTCTAAAAACACTGAAAATAAGAATTCTTTCTCATTCCAAAGTGCTTTAAATACATTGTGCAAGAAAACATCTAGACCTTGCAAGCCAAAACTCACTACAATTCTCTTGCTAAAAAGTTACCAAACTCAGTTTAATGACTTAAATCTTAAGCTACATTAACAAAACCTAATTGAGGAATATCCTCTGAGTCTCTGAGGCAGCGGCAATAACTCAGAACCACTATTAACATCCGACTCGAGCAGTTTCATTTTTGTTTATTTTTAGTTAAGAGCTCTTATTCTCCCCTCCCCTTTGTTGTCATGGGTCAAATGCAGTTTATTTATCCCAAGTCTTCCTTGTGGATTTCGACCCAATTTGTAGTTCACTAAAATCGAATGTAGAAGGAATTCTGTAGCCCAAAATCACTTCAGGAAACGGGAGGGTGTCACAAAATTAAACCAAAAGAAAATCCCGTGTGCCAGGTAGCAGTGTGTGCCCTAGTCCTCACGGGAAAAGCTTCCCGGTGCCTCAAAACCCGCGTTAAAAAGTTAAGCCTTTCAAAAGTCTTTCCGCTCGTACATCTGCCTCCAACTTCTCGACACCACATGGTCTCCACAGATTGAGGGCTCTTGGCACCCAAGGAAAAGCCCCTGCCCATCCCCCCCCCCGGGGACACTGAGACCATTGAAGTGGGAAATACTCCCCCGGAATCCACAACCCCCAGCCCCTCACGACGGCCCGATGTTCATCCGGCTTCCAGCCCATTGATTCGTCCCGAACCCGCACCCGGCCGGTGCGGCCCCGGGCAGGGGTTCCCAGATGCCCGCGGCTCCCATCCCTGAGGAGGGAAGTCCCGGACGGAGGGAACTCCCGCCACCGCGGAGGTGGCAACACCCGCCGCAGCTCCGCGCGGGGTCCG